TGGGGGGGTATAACCCCCTTTGGAAAAGGAAAAAAGAAAAATAGGCGGGGCTGAGCAGGGAAGCCCGGGCTCTGCGGAGGAACAGTGCAGCGGAGAAGGGCTGGGCGGTGGCGTCGGAGCCCGGGCTCTGGGACCGTGCGGGCTGAAAGACTCCAAGGTCTCTCCCTAGAGGCACTCACCACCCTCTGGACCCGGCCGCTGGCCGGGTCCCTGCTGCTTTCCTGTCTGCTTCCCTGCCCCCACCTTCCTGATTCCCGACCCAAAGTTCAACTCCCGAAGAGTGCAGGACCTCCCCCCCCCTTCACTCTCTCCTCTCCCGTTTCCTTGTTTCCCTCCTAAGCTTCAGGCTAGAAAAGGGAAAAAGCCCCACTTTTGCCTCGTCACTAGGAACCCGGTCATCTGAGTCAGACAAGCCCAGTGACGTTAGGCCAACCCGGGCTCCTGGCTAGCAGAGCGGAGGCGCTGCCACGAAACTCGTACCTGCGGCTAAGAGCAGGTGAGTCATCACACCGTTTTATATCTTTATGACATAACTTTTTTTTCCGCCTCGGTCCGCTCCACTCCCCTTGTCATCTGTGGAGATCATAAAGAGGAAGAAACTGAGAGCAGATGTCTGTGTGATAGGGCAGGCGGACCCAAGTCGGGCCGTCCTTCCTCTGCCGGGCTCCTCCTCCCGCCCCCCTTCCACGACCTCGGAGACTGAACTAGAGGCGACTGTCTGGTTTCTGATAGGAAAAGGTCAGGGGGAGGGGACATCTTCCTAAACACGCTGCGAAAGCGAAGGACGCGGGAACGCATCTGCGCTTAGGGCGTGCCAGGCCGAAGCCAGAGGCACCGCAGCACTGCCTGTTGGTTCTCTGACCTCGAGGGGCCAGGCTTGGCTCTTAATCGGTCCTGGATGTCTGTGGGAAATTCTCCCCAAGCAAAGCCTCTTGACTCCTGTGAAGTCCTGGGCAGTGGATTTCCCACATGTCCTCGGAAGAGGGACCAACTGAAGTGACTGGGTGACAGACACTGAGTTGGGAGACTCAGCGTTTTTGGTTCGTGGTTCCGAGCATGTGCGACCGAATGTTTTCAGGTGAATGTGACCATGTGGTGGTGTGTGTTTGACCAAGTGTGTGTTGCACTGGCAGAACTGTAGGTTTCCTTAAATAGCAGTAGGAAAGGTCTTTCTAAAGTGACTAAGAATCTGCAGAATATCTTGTTTTGCAGTTTTAAAAATGTTATTAATCTCATTTTAAGAAATGTGTTTTAACTTGTATTCCACATACCTTATTTTCCCCCTCCCCGTGCTTTGTTCTTTTAAATCTTTCTTCCTTGAAATCTGGCAAGAGAATTAGGTTAAATCCTTGAACCAAACAAATCTCTTAAATCAGCAGGGAGCAGAGAGGGTGAAGATGTGCAGTTAAGGAAATAAAAAAGATAAAAGCATTGGATTACAATTCTTTTTTTTTCAACAAAAAGGCGGGGGGGGGTGCACAATGTATGGAAAGGAATGAGAGTGAAATTAAATCCACCTGGAACTCTGCAGTGCAAGACCCCTCCCCATCACAGCCTGCTCCTGTGACTGCCTGTCCGTCTCATGGGTTTCTGTACATGGACCTGTGAAAGTGTCAGAAACTAATTCTTCTGTGCAAAGTTCTTATCAGTAGCAGGACCTCAGTTTCATTTGTAAAGTACACGGATGCTTAGCTTCCTCGGCCTGATCCGGGGAATGGCAGCGCTAATGAGCTTCCTTGTTCCTTTCCCAGTGATTCTCCAACGCCCTCTTGGCTCTTCGACAACCTCAAGCATGACTAGGGGATTTTCTATGGGTAATAACAACTTAGTAACAGCTTTCATTGTGTATAAGAAGCTGGTGTTTTAAGGGGGAAAAAAAACTCTGTCACCTTAAAGGAAAGTCCACTCACATAGCAAATACCCTTTTTTAAAGCCCACTTCCCAAACCTTATCTTTCTAAACAGAGTTGACTTAAGGGAAAAAAGATCACTGTTCATAGAGGGATGGCCAACAGAGAAGTTTCTTTTAGCCTCATTCAAAGCCCAGGGTGCCTTCTGCAGTGGAAAAGGAAGGCCAAGTTGTCCCCAGGCACTCCCAGCCAGCAACACCAAGGGAGATAGGATTGAACCCCCAAGCATCCAACAGCAGGACTTTGGTTCTTTGAGCTAGAAACCAACATGGAAAGATGGCAGTCCAGTTCATTTTCAGCTTTTCTCCAACGAGTAGTAGCATTCAAAGACACCTGACAAATGCAGGAGGTTAAATTGTAATGTACCCGCATGCCAGCCCCTCTGTTTCCTGAGGTTCGAAAGCAGTCAGCAGGGCCTCGATTGTCTTAGACTTGGACAATACCTAAATGGATGCTGCTATCAGGGGTGGCTGGTCACCCTGCAGGGCTGCTATGGCTTCCAATCTCTCCCCAAATGCCCCTTAGAATATCGCAAAATTGCTTTGCAAAGACTAGGCTGTTCTTTTAAGGGAATTAGACTTGTCTTCAGCTCCTGAGAGGGTGGATGAACTTGGGACAGGGGAACTACGAGGGCAACCACGTGGCGGCTACTGTGGCATCCCAGCTACTCTCCTGGGTGAGGCTTCGCACAGGTCTGCGGGTGCCGGGGGCGTCCCAGGGAGCCAGAAGGGTTGTCTCCTCAAGTGAAGGAAGCGGGGAGCAGTCAGGACCGCGGGGTGAGCGGGTTGGTCAGGCGGCTGGGCAGTGGGAGGAAGCGGCTCCGCCCTTCCCGGAAGCTACGCCTGCTAGTCCTTGGGGCCTGTGACCGGTTCAGTCCAGCCAGCCGCAGGAGGGCCAGCACGCGGTGCGCTGCAGGTCACGGTTGCCTCAGCTTACCCTTTCCAGCATGACCTGGTTGGGAGCCCCTTCGGAAGATACAGAGCAGGGAGGGAGAAGAGGGTGACCACGAAAGGCAAAGGCCATTGTTAGGAAAGGCGAGCGGCCTTCCCAGCGCCACGGTGCTTCCAGTTTAGCCAGACCGCAGAGAGCAGGGCCCAGGGCACAGGGCACCAGCTTCTCCCCCGCTTCCCTCTCCTGCTCGCCCTAGTCCGGCCCCGTCCCCTCCCCTTCCCCCC